GAAATGACAGTTTGCGTTCCCTGAAATTTGCAGGCTGCGAAGAGAAACGGTCCCCACTGCTTCCTGCCTGAGAACCACCCACGTCCCCTTTTAATCTCTGCACACCCCACCCCCGGTACTCACTCTGGTTCGGGTAGACCTCACAGAGTTTTAAGAATAATCGGGAAATGCTTCTCAGAGGTCTATTCTATACTTGTGTCTAGTCCAACTCCAGATTAGTAACCTCGACTGTTTTCACAAGATCTCAACACAGGGCCTGTGTCCCGTGTCAGGGCAGGGCCTGGGGAAGGTCTCACTTCTGGAGCAAGAGCCGTCTCTAAGGCACCAGCTGCGTGGGCCGTGCGGGTGTGACATTTGGGCCCTCGGAGCACACGCAAACCAGCATGGGAGCAAAGTGTGTCACCGGAGGGCTGAACAGCCCCACCCGTGTCTCGCCTGCAGTGCCTGGCAGTCAGGGGCAGGACCCGCCGGCCAGAACCACTTGACGAGGGCTTCTGCGTCTGCCCATCAAACAGAGCCCAGATACCCAGGTTTAGCGGCTGAGGGGCTGGTTTTGAGCTTTTGCCCATTCTAACAAAGGTTAAAGCCTCATTCTCCATGTAGGCACTTTACAGATTTATTACAAATAACACACTCCAAACACCACCCTGTGATTTACATTCCTGTTTCCTGTTTGTCTAGTAGAAAACTACTGGCGTCCGCAGCTTAGATCATTGCACTTGCTGCGTCACCTTCAGACCCCAGAGGTTTCCTTCCTTTAGAGAATTTTTAAAATTCATCTCCCAAACCCAATTACCCTGAGCTCTTTTCAAATCGGCCTCTGAAAGCCCGGGGGTTATATCAGAAGCGAAGCAGCATCCTGCCCCCACATCTTCCGACGCGACCCCACACCAACATTGCGGAGTGTTCCGGAAGCAGAGAACCGCCACGGCTGTGCTGGCCTAGAGATCACGTCCCTTCCATAACCTACAGAAATTAAAAAAAAAAAAGAGGCTCTGTAAAAGCTTCTAGGTCATGATTTCTTCAAAGTCCGACAGCTGCTTCATCTGCTCGATCTGCATGGAATGCCTCCTGAGGAGCTTCCTCTTACTCCGCGCGTCAGCTCTCTTTGGTGAACTTGGCGCGATGGGAACCATCGACTTCACGCCACTGGCGAGGGGGGAGGAGGGTCTGCCGCTAGATCTGATGTCCGGGATGGGCGGGTTCAGATTCACATTGAGGGGCGGGAGGAAGCCAGGCCGAGTGTGGGGAATGCGGTCCAGGAGCAGAGTCCCAGAGCCTCGCCTTTCCAGAAGATGCGGCGGCCTGCGGCGTGCCGAGCTGGGGGACGCGCCGGGCACGGCGTCCAGGGACTCCCGAGAGCCGTGGAAAAGGGACACGTGGCAGCTGTTGAGCTTCTTTCTGTCCGAGGGTCCCTTGCCGGGTTCAAGGCGGACGGAGCCGGGCGGGTCGGCCCCCGGCTGCAACTCTAAATCGTAGAGGTCGTTTTCCAGCTGCGCCAGGGATGCTGGCTCTGTGAGAGCAGAGGGTCCCGGCGGGCCCAGGCCGCCCTTCTCTGGGTCCACAGGGAGAGTTCCCCTTGGGGCCAGACGCGGGTGGGGAGCCTGACCTTTTTCGCAGGCGGCTTTCCAGGACGCCGGCGCCGGGGAGGCTGGGAACTTCAGCAGCTGCTCCGTGACCGTGGGGAAGAGGGTCGGGTCCTTGCTGTCGATGCTGTTGGTCCTGGAGAGGGGCCTCCTTTTGGCGAGGGACCCGTCGCTGATGCTCTTGAGGACCTCGCGGTCTGTGCCGGTGCTCTGGGCCTCGTCCTGGCGCGACGAGGCTGCCAGCACGGAGGGCGCGATCAGGCCCCAGGGTTCAGACTGGAGCCTCTTCAGTTGGGGCAAACGGGCCCGTCTGAGATTTCCGGCTTTCCTGGTGGGCGACCCGGGCTCGTTAAGAGCCTTGGAGGCGTTGCAACCGCTTGGGCGCCCCGCCTGGAGGCCGAAGACATCATCTTCCTTCTCCGCGGGTGGAGAGCCCAGGCCTGGAGCCTTCAGCGTGACGTTGGAGGGAGACGCGCACGGTGGAGGGGACGGTCTGTCTTCCGCTTTGGGTGAAGGAGGGACGTTAAGGTACCGTCTGGTGGTTTTGGTGCCTGAAGACGACTTGTCCGTGGTTATGATAATCACCTCCTTCCCCTTGGCCTTGCAGGCGTCGAGGAGATGTTTCAGAGCGTCCTTGTCATCCGCGTTTATCGCGTAAACCAGAGCCGAAGCCCCGGTGCGGTCCTCGAGGCTGGGGTCCGCGCCGTTCTCCAGCAGCAGGGAGACCACTTCTCCCCCGGCCCTGCGGATGCAGGCGTGGATGAGCGCAGTCTTGCCAGACTTGTCCTGGATGTTGGGGTCCGCCCTGTTGTCCAGCAGGTACTTGACCATCCTGGTCTTGCTGCTGCTCTGCTGGTCCGCGTGCTGGGTGCTGCACGCCACCATGAGCGCCGTCTCGCCCTTGTCGTTGCTTTCGTTGATGTAAGCTCCGCCTTCCAGGAGCAGTCTGGTCAGCCGGAGCCTCCCCAGCCACACAGCCTTTAAAAGGGAGTTGCCGTCGGTCCTCAACTCGGTGTCGTCATCCATCATGCTGGCCACAGCTTAGGGCCTCCGAGCCGCGGTGGCAGTCACACCTGGCAAGGGAGGAAGAGGGAAGCAGGTCACGTAGCTATAGCTGATCTGGGCAGCACGGTTCTCACGGGGTCCCCGATGCCACGTTACGTTACCTTGGCCAAGTTAACTAACACCTCCGGGTTCCTTCGTTGCTCTGTGATGCGTGTTGGGAGGGACGGCAGTGACCTACCTGGCAGAGTCGTTGCGAAGATTGTGTGAGACGGTCTGTATAAAACACTCACCCACGTGAAAAGCAGTTAATGCAGTGCCTAGCACGTAGTAAATATTTTTTAAATGCAAAATACTAATGTGTTGACCGCATAA